CAGGCTTTGTATTTGGGCTTGGTCGGAGCTCCGGGAACCAAATTTTGAGCAGTTTATGACTGGCTGCATTTTCGGGCTTAGGCACGGCATTGAACACCGGATTTTTGGAAACTAGGGCCGAATGTGCTTGGCAGGCCTTGGAAACTACATTCGGGCTTGGTCGGGGGCTTCGGGAGCACCATTTGAGCCTCGGGAGTGGAGCCAGGGCACCGGCAAACTCTGAAAGGCCTTGGCCGAATCAACACAAAAATGCATTTTGGGTTTGGTTGGAGCCCCCCGAAACCCCCTTTGCCGCCCTGCAACCCGGCCGCCGGCATCTCAGCCCCGGAATCCCGGAAGCCCCTCCCCGGAACCTTGCCCCACCTTCTGGAAAATCCCTATCTGATCAGCATACGAACAGGAGACGGTAAAAAGACGATAAAACCTGTGTCTAGACGTGTATGTGTCGAAAACTTAAGGAATACAGAAAGCAAGACCACTCGGGCAAAGAGGAAAGTAGAAGGCAATGATCTTGAAACAGCCGAGTGGCTCATGGAAAGACTAAGCAGCTGTTGCTTAAAATGCGGTGTCGAGCTTCACCTGCAAATGATTAAGGTGAATATACATACCAACTTGCTATGTCTTGAATAATATATCTAGTTCTACATACATCTCCGAAAGGTTAGCACCAGCAATCCCTCACCAACACCGTGCAAAACTTACACGCTAAACTAGTCAATGCAGTAGATGGCATGTATTTCCCACAACTGGCCATATGTCTTCTTTTTTCAACAGACCACCTATACACAAACAAAAGCAATACCTACATCAACAAACTCAACAAAAGAATACAGAAAAGAGAGAGCCTAAGCCCAGCACCTTGGGATATTGTGAGATATCTAAGATGGAGATACATATGAAGTGAGAAGGGTTGAAGCTAGAAGGTTACTACAGCTTAGATTTAGCAAGATATGTGTAGACATAGCTTATGGCAGTCTTTCAGGTTTTTCGGGACAAGAGATCTAATAGGAAATTCCTGCGGGGATTTCAGAGAGTTCAAGGGCTGGGAATGCTTGCGGTGGATATTCCAAAACTGAGGCTTTTAGGAAGGACAAGTCAAACCTTAGGGTGGGTCAGGGATAAAACGGAGAGGGGTTTTGAGTTGGGGCTGGAGCTACCTACGGCCATCCCTAACTTTTCCGAGGGGTTTAAAGAAATGCTGCATCTTCAGGGTCTGCTGCAAGTTTTGCACGCGGCTTACTGTGTTGATTCATGTCTTGCAACAAAACTAGCATTAACCAGTTGTGCTTCATACAGCTGCCTGCACTTTTGAACGATGCTGCTGGGATTATATGGGACCCTATTTTCTCACAGACGATCTCATGAATCGACTCTTAGAATCGGTGGACCCGGAGCCGGGGCCGCGGGGGTGCGGGCGACATCGACTAAGCGACGCATGCGGCGTGTGTCCGCTATGCTGTGGGGAGTGGCGCGAGTGGGTCCCGCCCATGCGTGCAACATCTCGCTCTCGGGCAATCCCTGGTTATGCCTTGGACGACCGCTCAAAGTAGGACCAATTCAACTCTCGAAGGTCGGAACATGGTCGAGATCTCCCGTAAGCCGATCTTGACCGGAGACATCCAAAAGTCCTTACGTTACAAATGAAGATGTGTGACGTTCCTTAGGGGGTGACCAGAAAAAAAAGCTCCACCATCGATGGTGGCATGTTGTCTCAGCAGCCGTGTTAAAGACTGGCAGCATCTCTGTGTTTTGGTGCGCTTGCGCCCTTGTCGGAGAGCAAGCGCGTCTGCAACTCCATATTTTCTTTCTGATTTCTAATTGCGGTTGCAAGTTAGGAGTGGGCGCCATGGGTTGGATGCAGGAGAAGTGCCGAACGATGTCATATGTGCTTCTGACGACGCTGGTCGCAAGACGCTGCATGAAAAGTACGCATCTACGCTTGACATGCTACCCTCACAGAAAAGCTCCCGCTCGAATGTGATATTTTTGCTCCCACTGTGGACTTGTGTCCAGCCTCCAAACTCCATTGCTTTATGACGCCGTTCACTACGGAGACCAGACTTGGCCACCGCTGAGGAAGTGCTTGGAATATCTTGGAATCTGCACCGAGAAGAGGACCGGAACAGGTGACTGTGCTCGCCTGAACCAGCTTGATGGCAACTGGAGCTCTGACCCTGGGAGCTGGGATGCAACTGGTGGCTTTACAGCAGGTGAAATGATGCTTGAAGAAGCACTTGTGTGGGGCTGTGGATCGTGGCGGTACCCGGCCTGCGCAGCGGCGTGGCCACCTCTTCTAAGCGGTCCGTCCGTCGCTCGGCCTCGACCAAGCAAGGGGAGCACAAGAGGACCTGATTTTTCTTGCTGATTCCTGCGTGGTTGCTGGCCTGGGCATCCATGTCGCGACAGTAACTCCACAAAGGCTTCCTACCTCCGCTACTGTATCATACAATCCCTTCAGTGGCAGAAAATGCAGCGACGAGGATTTTCCATTACAGTCAGGCTTGCAGCTTTCACGGCTTCCACAACAGCTATCACAGACCTGTGCCGCGCACCATCTGCCCGCTTGTCATCCCAAGCTCCCACAGACTTCATGAAATCGTTACCAGGCTAGAGTACCCGCGTTGGAAGGAAACGCAATGTCCGCTGGGATGACAAGGTGCGTTCCCTCTAGTTACTGATTGAAGACCTTGTCCCAACCTCTTGAAGACTTCTTCAGACCACTGATTCATCAGTGGTATCTCTCGTGTGAATTTAAGACTCCTCTCCATCCTTTGTTTATCTTCCCATGTCTGTGTTGTTTTGGTGCCAATTGGACCGGCATGGACCCTGCACAATCACCCGAAGCTATCAAGTTACCGGTCTCCGTGACGTGACCCTTGTGGGGCCTGAGGCAGGCGAAGCCTTCGAAGGGTTTACAGCTACAGCACCCACCAAGTGATGGACTTCTGGCATGGGATGTCGCAACTGCTGCGAGTACTTGGGATGGAGAAGATCGGGGGCCTGAGGCTGCGAGCAGGCCCCTCACAAAGTCTCGGGATACATTCAAGAAGAAACCCCATGGAGCAGAAATTTGCCCAATTGAAGCAAGAGAGACCCCAAAGCCTCCGGCATCACGCCGTGCGCTTTTGGCCCAGCTCCATCTCACTGTCGCAAGCTATGTGTTCGCTGCACTGGACCAGGTTCCAACACGCCCGCTGCAACACCGAGTATCAGTGGACCTTGTGCTTGAGTGCCTTGGGCTTCCTTTGCCTTCCTACTCACGCGGCTCGTCGCATCACGCCGGTCTCTCCCAGGATGATTCACCAGTCCTTCTGGGATTGCAGAAGGCACACAGAATGGACTGCCATCTTGAATGCGGCCCACGCACCTGCTGTTGTAGTAAAATCTCCTGTCTGTCGCAGTGCGAGAGCGCGACGGACCGATACCGCGCTTCCGAGGCCGAGGCTTTCCCGGAGCGCTCCTGGACTGCATCAGCACCCAGCCACCCGACAGCGGCATGGCCTCTGAAACAGGGCTCCACGAAGCTTGGCATGATGGAGAGCAGCGCCCCGTGCCCACTCTGAACCGAGGCTCCCACACCGTTGCCCGGAGGTTTGCTTCTCTCTGAAGCCACCATGCTATTCACATGTGAAACCTGGCGAGGTAGACTGAGCAGAGCAAAGCAATGAAAGGAATGGGGCCAGGGCGATCCAAGACATTCTCCACATCACCTGGACTCAAGCTCTGCCTCGCGTTCACTCTAGGGGTCACTAGCTCCACCTCCTCCCATGAGTCTTGTCGGTGCTCTGAAGGTGGATCCACTGCAGCATCAAACTGCAGCAGTAGCGGATCCGCACTGTTGCCGTAGTCGCAGAAGCTTTTTCGCAGTACACATTGGCAAAGGCCTCATAATCAGTGTTGCTGCGGTCCTGGCATGTGTTCTTGTATGCTCAAGCTGTCAGTGCACAGCAGTGATCGACTTGGAGGCTTGCTTGACAAAGCAAGAAGGATTTATCAACGGATTGCCGACTTTCCAAAGAAACTGCCCGTGATGCCGCTTGATTATCGGCCAACAGGCAGATAGCGATGGTCCCGAGACCACGCTGAATTGAGTGAATTCTGGCTACAAGCTGCTGAGGCCGTGCATCGCCATAGGCTTTGTCTGAGCAACTTCAGCCATGACAGGAACAGTGTTTGTCTGCCACTTGGGTGAACATCCACTAACCTACTCCCGGCAGTCTTCTGACAATTTCATGCATCCCTTGGATACTGACCGAACTTGTAGCACCCGAAGAATCACGAAAGGCTGTTGGGCTTCTCGGAGCTCGAACCAACAGGCACCCGGCAATCCTCTGCGGACTCGTGCTCTCCAGAGGGCGAGACTTGGGGAAGCTTTTGGTTCTTGCTGAGGAGTTGGTGCCTAGTGCTGTCCATCAGGCGCTCGAGACAGGGCACCTGCCGCACTCGCATCCATTGCAGGTGGACTGCTACGATTCTTCGGACAGTGCTGCCCTGCAGGCCCTCCACGCTTATCCGCCGAGGCCAGAGGCACCAGGCGTCTTAGGGTTCCCTCAAGTACCCTCCACCCAATCCGCCTCCCTGCAGTCCAAACGTTTGGAACCACCCGTTTTTTGCATCCATTTTCCACGCCCCCCCCC